AGGTAATTTCTCTTGTGTAACTAAGCAACAAAACAGGACTATACTTACTCAAAAAACCAAGGGAAGCGTACTTATATGTTATAAAAAAGCTTTCAATCATCAAGAATCATGCTAGACACTGTCGCTTCTTCGAAAAAATGTTTCCATGCGAAAGCATATTCAATGAGAATAACTGCTACTCACTTAGCGCCAGCTATAAAAATGAATATCTATGGAACCATTATATGTATAAAGATGAAAATTTCACAAAATGTGTAACTAATAATCATAATTCATTTCCCAAAATTTCAGCTCGATCCGTCTGGCGGAAAAAAAGTCGATTTTTCAATCTCTCTCATAATGTGTTTAGCCTATAATCCGGTATTCAAATAAAAGGTTAATTCTCTATTTGTCATCAATGGTACAGCGTGGAAAATCTTTTTCCTTCTTTGTACAAACACAGTTTTCGAGATTATCAATAAAAAACATTAACAATTTTGAAACAAAAAGTTGTGAAAACTTTTTCAAAAATGTTTTGAAAAACTTACTAAATATGGATGTCAAAGTGCACGTTTTAATTCAGAAGAAAACTTTTCTTAAGGAGAAGAATGAGTTTTAATTCTATTGCAAAGACTTTTGCAACAAAGATTACCATTAAAATCATGTGCATCTCTCATAAATATGAAGCTGTATCCGTTTAAGTCTGCTGTTTGATTAGCCAGTTTAGTTCACACTGTTATCATGTGAGTGATAAAATACATATAATACATACGATAGTAAAACGGTCAAGTTGTAGAATACCTAAAAATAAATAGTTTGTACAAACTTGCATTATTTTCACATATTGTTCATTTAAAATAAAATATGAGATTTATGTTACTGATATGGTGGATACTATTACCTTATAAAGATGTTTTAAGATTAAACGTATAGAAAATGATTGGTTTCTTTTCCAGTGTATGCTCTAGAGGATAAATAGAGGCAATAACAAATTCTCAGTAAAATTTTTCTACGTTAGTTCAAGAAAATAAAATATGATCAAAACGTTTTTTTTTTCTTCTCTTCTCTCGCTTTTCTTGAATAGAGTTTTAAATAGCACTACTGAATATTCACCTGAATGCGTATATGTATATGACTGTTTGAATATACAGGAAAGAATAAAAACTGTCTCTTATATACCTTTTTTTCTCTTAATTTGAGTCTATTGATTTCTTTGCCATATTAATTTCAGATCAATAGGGGATGCAGTTATTAGAATGCATTAAATAAAACAAGAATAAAATTTTAAATCTTAGTTGTAAAGTTTAGAGGCAAATAGAAGAATCAAATATCGATGAGAGTATTGTCAATCACTTCCAGTTTAAAATGGTTCATTTAATCTATGAATTATTGTTTTTCTTATCTTAGATTGATATTATCCTAAACCATCAATTTTTGTGTATGAATGTGTTTAATCACACCTAGAGCTGTACGAAGATGCTTTAAAAGCCGTTATCATTGTAAACGTGATTTATTTATTGTCTGTTTCATGATTCTTATTGTCATATTGTCATTAAGTGTAGATTTGGAACAATTATATTCATTTATCCAAAATCATCAGTCATCATTATCATTGTTACTCTTTTCGTCATTCAATACACCAATAGCCAATCGTCTACTCATCCTAGTTCGTACATCACATCATTGTGAATCACGTCTAAAATATTTGTTAAAAACTTGGATACCACCATTAAAACGCAATCAACAAAAAAGTAATATATTTCTGTTAACCGATCAATATATTAAAAATTCATCGTATGATAAATTTGAAAATGTTATTCTAACCGATTGTCCTCAAAAACATAAAATATTCGATCTTTGCTGTAAAACGGCAGATGAATTTCAATTGTATCATAATTTAACAAAAAATGGGGCTAAATTTGATTGGATGTGTCGATTTGATGATGATCAATATGTTAATTTGGATAATTTATATTCCTATTTAACCAAATTAAATAGTTCCATACCGTATTATATTGGTCGTACAAGTAAATATTCGATTAAAATTCCTGATAATAACCAAACAGTTCATTTTGCTACATATGGTGCTGGTGTTTGTTATTCCAAAGTACTACTAAGTAAATTACAAAATTACATTAATAAATCCATAACACCCGATGATTGTATAAAAACTCGTTTTGCAGATGATGCCTATTTGGGCTATACTATTGCATATAAACTTAATACATCATTGACGATCAATAAGCAATTACATTCACATTTGGAACGTTTACAAATTTCATTTCATCGTTTAACATTAGAAAATTTATTAGAAGCAATTACATTTGGATTTTCTTGGGATCGTTATCAACTAAAATGGATGCCAGTTATTCATGAAATTATTCAGTTATCAAGAAAACATCAAAAGGATCAAGATTCATTAATGTTATTATGGAATTTTGTGAGAGATTATGAAAAAACACATCCAGAAAATATAACGGGAAAAGTTGATGATTCCTGTACATCTTATCATAAAGAAAAAAATGTTTCAGTTGCTAACATGCCAAATAAAGCAATTCTATTGACTACGAAACATATTAAAATTTGATCATTTTTATCTAGATTAACGGAATTTTTGAAACGTAGATATTCGAAATTAGCGCGACGAGTTACGTTGTACAGCGGAAAGATCTCAGCGGATGAATCCGCGTTTTATGCACCCGTGGGCGCCGTTATAGGTTTCCACGGTATCTTACACTATATTCAATAGTAGACATCAAAGATGTCGCTTTTTTGCCGTTCTCTTTTATGTCATTTTTCATTTTTACAATATGAAAGATTTCACAAGCAGGGTGGTTAAAAAACTTATGATTGATCACAAGATTTTTATTGCACCGAGATTTTGTAAGATCTTGCACGATGCACACTGCAGAAAAAAAGTATGTTCATAAATGTAAATGTTGTGATAAAATCGTGTAAGAATTGACATCATTTCATAAGGTTTCATAAGAGCACACAAGATTTTAAAAGAAGAGTAATAGAGAGCCTAGTTGATGAATCCCCCTCCCCCTCAAGAAATCGTGTGAAAAAAATTTCTCATCACGATGTTATTGGTTTTATTAGATCAAATGTCATACACTATATTAAATGGACCTGTGATATGTGCTTTCACGTATACAAATAACATGATGTATAACAGTGATAGAAGCAAAACCTTTCAATATTTAGCTTAGAAAAGCAGAATAAAAGCAAACTTCTACAACCATGAAATTATTACACATAGATCAAAGTATACATTAGATGGGTGTGCGCATTAAATACAGAATAATTTGATTGTTAAAACTAAGGTTTCAACAACTAAAATGACTACTTAACCTAATTATGTAATTTCACATATTTATGTTGTATGATCTTCTCAAATCATCAAACACTTTTTTTTGTATTATCGTTTGTTTTTTCTGTACCGTCGTCATTGGCTTAAGCTTAAACCATGCTGTGAAATCTTTCGTATTATATTATCAAGTAATATTTCAATAATTGAAATAATTGCAAACAATTGCTAGGTGCATTCAGTAATATCATATAGATGGACTCAGCAGCGCAAATAACGGGAGGGCGTGAGAGGGTGCGCACCTCCCGAATAATTGAAAAAGCTGTTGTTATTTTATCCATTATTCCTCGCACAAAAAATTTTTATCAATTTCACACTACTTCAAAGAGAAATTTTGTTTTACACCCAGATCTGAGCGGGCAAGTCTTTTCTGTCCATGCCCGTAGACCTTTCTGGGATGTTTGTCACCGATCGTCCGTGAATTTTTTCAGCTGTCCGTGTCTGTTCGTGCCCGTAGATAAAAAAGTCTGTAGTATGACAAAAAATCATGTTTTAACCACATATTTCCTTCTCTTCTATATCTCAACGAGAATTTTTTCGTCCGTATATCATGTTCTTTCACTGGCATTGTTCATTCATTGTTTTTTACTACCTATGCCTCATTCACAAACAATTCATCTTTGGAATTTATTTGTTACAGAAAAAGTTTTCAAAAATCCATTCCCATCAGAGAGAATGATTGCACGTCCATACCTGTCCGTGATCTTTTCAAGCCTGTGCATGCCCGTAGCCACGGTAATTCCCGTGTTCATGCAGATCTCTAGTCACGATGCCTTACGAAGATGCCTGGATTCCAATTTTATGCATCCATAGTGTCTTCGTGAGACATCGTAGCTGTTTAAGCTAGGCAGCTTGGATACATTCTCCCATGTAAATCAGATGCACTTTAGATGCATAAAATAGGGCATTCCGATCTTCATAAAGCATCCAGAATGCATTAAATAGGCTGCGATGCCTTATAAAAGCAGGCTACGACCAAAACCATGCATAAAAGGCTCAGCTGAAGTTTTTGTGATCTGAGGAAGAAAATAAACATTGCCACGATGATCAGCGATGTCGATAACCTATAGCAGATAGTCCCTGGGAAAATGCCTGTAACTCCCGAACCAAGACCTTGTCCGATATCGATAAATCTGCATAAGATCTTGAAAGAACTGAACAGAAACTCTTTTTTTTAAAAATAACCAAAAAACCAGAAATTTAAAAAATCTTTCAAGTTTTTATCAAGATCTGCAGTCAAGATTTTTTACTTGGGTAACGTGCTTTCATGGCCGCATTTTCAAGTCACAAGGATGATTTGAAACGACATTTTTTTGACAGTGTAAAATCTTAACAGACTCCTATCCTACCTTAAAAAATCTTAGACAAAGAAACTTATATCTTTGTAAGATGTTAGTCAAATCTTGAAATTTTCACGATCTCACGATCGCAGGAAAAGTTATCTAAGATTTTAGACAAATGTAAGCGAAATAGACTGGCAAAACACAGATAAAAATCGGTTAGTTGAAAAATTTCTATCGGTTCTGTCTGTATAGGCCCGATTTTATAGAGAAGTGCTCATACCAGATAAACAATGGTTGAGAACCGAAACCATGGTTCTCTTATTTCCGATTCTTCATCGGAAACCGGAATCGCGGTTTCTTAGACGGTTTAACCGAGACTTTTTGACTTAGCTTTCTTTTAACAAGATGAAAACACTATTCACAAACAAAAGCTACAAAAAGATATATTTGCCTGTCATCATTTGGAAGAATCCTTTCGTTTACTACAAAATGAATTCTATTTCGTTGAATTGCCACTGCCTGAAAAATTATTTTCCGGTTCTAAGCTGAGAACCGAGAACCGTGGTTCTGTTCCCAGTTCGGAACCGGAATCGCGGTTTCTTTCGTTTCGGTTCTAAGTCGAGAACCGAGAACCGAATATTCCGCGTCCCAAATAGGAATATTCGGTTCTGTTGTGCACTTCCCCCGTGAATTAATTACGCTTTTTTATGTACCTGTACTTTGAAGAAGTCCAAAAATGCAGATATAAACTGCAAAAAGTTCAAGTATAGAAATAGCTTGCACTCCAAGTAAAGAAAATAAGAAGTATGGTGTATATAACGAACACTCTTTTGTATGCGGCCTGTCCACATAACGGTCGTCTTTTCGTGATTCCGTCACGATTTTTGTTGTTTTACGAGTCTCGTGGCGCCCGAACAAAAGGAAACTCAAGGACCATTTACATCTAGTCTTGTAGTGAAAAGTGAGCTGAACAAAATGTGATATTTTCTGTTTCCGCAGAGTGTTGTGGTTCTCAAATATAAAAAAAGTTTTACGAGCCCCGTTTGGCGGACTTTTGATTGGGGCTCATAAAAATTTTGTTGTACTTGACGACCACGATATTCTGCGAAAACGGAAAATATCACATTTTGTTCAGCTTACTTTTCTCTACAAGACTAGATGTACAGAGCATAAAAAGTTACATAGAAATCCATATTTGTTCACTAAAAAAGTCATAATCTATATGCCTTTTCAAGGATGTCAAGTCTCGCCCCTCCTTCTAATAAAGCAACTTTGATCTTATTTTTCTCTGCCTCTACAGAGCTTACACCACCGTTGGGCATACCACACGAAAGAGCACTTCGAGTAGTACAAATACTAATATTGAAAACTTCTCCTAGTACTTTTTCAGTGGCAGGCTAACTGTCACAAAATGGCCGAAAATGAAAAAATGGCACTTAGTATTTCACCTTTCCTGAAGGCAAATCAAAACAAAAAGTTCTTGCAATATAGCTAAAAATGAAGCTAAAGAGCTAATTAATCCAATGAAAAAAGAATAAGATCGATCTCTATCTTCCTCTTTGAGTATGAAACCCATCTTTGAAGACCCCTTTTCAAAAACAGTCAACTTTCAGGCCCCACAGCACAAAAACTATACGGTAGAATTTTTTTGTTCTTCTCCCATTTGTAGTACTCGTCGAGCTCTAAAAAATGACATCAAAGATATTTTTGGCCCACTTCGCTTTCATCCTGTTTTTCCGATCACAAAAGTCAAAAATATCGCTGACTGTTTTCATGTTTTCACCTGCTTTTCACTCTGTTCTTAAAATCCAGACGAAGCGAAATAGTTGTTAATTCGCAATCCATCTTATTTTTAAGTAAAGTAATACAAAATTGCTTAAAAACAGGTGTACAGAAAGCCTTTTTCTGAAACATTATTTTCTCAAAATTTTATTCGTCTACTTTTGTCCAATGAGAGTCTCTATATACGATGTGAGCAAAGTATCGCTTAGGATAGTTTAACGAGAAACTTATAGCCGCATTCGTAGAACACATATTACTTTAGTTAAAAATAAGATGGATTGCGAATTAACAACTATTTCGCTTCGATTGGATTTTAAGAACAGAGTGAAAAGCAGGTGAAAACATGAAAACAGTAAGCGATATTTTTGACTTTTGTGATCGAAAAAACAGGATGAAAACGAAGTGGGCCAAAAACATCTTTGATGCCGTTTTGTAGAGCTCGACGAGTACTACAAATAGGAGAAGAACAAAAAAATTCTACCGTATAGTTTTTGTGCTGTGGGGCCTGAAAGTTGACTGTTTTTGAAAAGGGGTCCTCAAAGATGGATTTCATACTCAAAGAGGAAGATAGATATCGATCTTATTCTTTTTTCATTGGATTAATCAGCTATTTAGCTTCATTTTTAGCTATATTGCAACTTTTTGATTTGATTTGCCTTCAGAAAAGGTGAAATACTAAGTGCCATTTTTTCATTTTCGGCCATTTTGTGACAGTTGGCCTGCCACTGTAAAAGTACTAGGAGAAGTTTTCAATATTAGTATTTGTACTACTCGAGGTGCTCTGTCGTGTGGTATGCCCAACGGTGGTGTAAGCTCTGTAGAGGCAGAGAAAAATAAGATCAAAGTTGCTTTATTAGAAGGAGGGCCGGAATAATTAACTTGCACATTTCGAATTCAGAAGAATCTATTCATTCTCGTTAACATGTTCTGTTTGAATGATTCGGTTTGATCTTTTTTGTCACGTCGATGTCTTTGTGATTATAATGCACAGAATAAGGAAATAAACGCCGATCATCGCGAATGTGACCTTTAAAATGAGAGAAAATGACGTCTTCTAAGTAAAACTAAATTTTTACTGCTAGATAACACCAGCTAGCTTCACGCGGTCTTTGGTACACTATCACTACCAAAACGTGGCTTAAAGTTCTGAAAACACATCAGAATTGTGTAAAAATGTTTGCTCTTTTAGAGTCTATAGTCAAAAGTGTTTCTGGCTTTTCGTAAATGTTCGAAAGTGTCAAAAAAGGATTAAAAAGTATAAAAAAGTTTATGTCCATCTGTAAAGGGCCATCTTCCTTTTCCCCGTTGTCTCATCTTCCACTGATCTATTCACCGTATTGAACTTTTTCCTTCCACTAGCCCTTTACCTTGCATTCATCTTTCTTCAACTCATAATAATGGATTTTTCTCTCTTGTACAGTTCATGACTTCTCGTCCAGCTTCATTGCTTCTCTATCTACTTCTCTTTGTACATCATCGATGCGTACATCTTTTGTTTTTTTACATCTTTTTTTACACCAACGTTTTACATTTTTGTACATCTTTCGATACGGTTCAGTGCTTTTGCTCATTTTTACATTTGTATAGACACATTATAGTGAATTGTATTAGGAAATAAACTCGAGGAGGGTCAATTCCCTTTACACCGTCTACAGGCTTTTACTAGTGTATCACAAAGAAACCTGGAAACAATGTAATACTTCTTGTATAGATACAACTCTTAATGCTCTGTCTAGTGAGCAGGTCAGAAGAACAGAAAACGCTGTAAGGCAGTATTAAAAATAAGAAATACGTGAGAAACGGCAGGTTTCGGGCGGTATAGAATAAGAAAATTAAAAAAAATGCATTGTAATAATACACTGAATTTTTTCATCATGTTTTATCTTTTGTTGATCATTTGACTGGCTTTATACTCTTTAACCATAAAAACTTTCGTATTATTCTATCATTTGAAAAGTTCGAGCGAACATGATGTTTATTCTATATGCCACTACACTGATTATAGTGATCGGCGATATAACAGCTTATAATTTTCCGTTTTCAACTGCGGGTCGTCATATTATTGATTCAACAGGACAAACATTGAAGTTTTCGTGTCTGAATTGGCCCGGTAGTATGGAAACATTGATGCCCGAAGGATTACAACACAATAGCGTTAATAATATTGTCCTGTTAATAAAAGCAATGGGATTTAACTGTGTCCGATTAACATTTTCAATCGACATGACACTATCGAAAAATCAAAATATAACAGCATTAGAATCATTACAAATGCAAAGTTTGGGCAGTGCCGTCTCAGGATTTCAATTGTATAATCCTACATTATTGGATGAAACTGTTCTGTCCGTATTCAACATTGTATTAGACGCATTAGAACAACAAGACATCCTTATCCTGTTAGACAATCATGTCCGCAAAGCCATGTGGTGTTGTAGTGACTCTGACGGCAATGGCTTTTGGAATGATAAATATTTTGATCCGATCGAGTGGGAAAATGGACTTCGATTGATGTCACTAATTGCCAGACAGAAACATCACATTGTTGCCATTAGTTTAAGAAATGAATTGCGAGGTTCAGGACAAAATTTACCAGATTGGTACAAATACGTACTAATAGGTGTTATTGACACAATTCATCAGACAAATCCAGATATATTAATTGTTATCTCTGGTTTGAATTATGATTTAGATCTTTCATTTATTCGTTATACACCTGTACAAGATTTGTTACCAGAACTGATAAAATCGAAAATTGTTTACGAAGGACATTGGTATTCATGGTCGAATGTACAAAAATGCAGAATGGAGTTGAGGATGCTTGGGGTTATATCACGACAGAAAATGAAAAATATACTGCGCCGATATGGCTAACCGAATTCGGAACAAATATAGATAATTTTGTAGGTGATAATTACATCAATTGTGTTAGTCAATATGTACAAAACAAAAAAATTTCATGGGCCTGTTGGGTACTAGCGGGAAGCTATTACATTCGGGATGGTACGACAGAATTCCATGAATCATTCGGTTTGCTTAGTGACGACTGGCAGACGGTGAAATCAGATTTATTTATGAAAATACTGGCTGATATGCAAAAAGATTAATTATTGGTTTTACTCATATAACTTGCTTCACTTTTGATGAAAGTATATATCAAAAGTGATATATCTTTTATGCCTTGCACTCCTTTTAGATTATTCGAAAAAATATTTTTCATTATTCGAATTTTTCCAGTTTAAATTTTTAGTTCTATCAACTCAGACGTTCTAGCAGAAACTCGATTTGGAAGACGAGTGACTAGAATTTTAAATGCGTAACTCGATATTTATTACTTTATGAGAAATAGTGAGAGAAAAATAGAAAAATATATTCTCCGGATTGCAAGATTTGGCAAGTTTAGGTTCTTCATAAGGAAAAATTACTGTCAAATTCGTCATCGTCATCGGTATTTGTAGCTGAAAAGTTTTGTATCGCATTTAGTTTTGTATGATGGATGAAGAAACTACTGTCATATTTGGTTGAACAGTAAGTGATGACAGGCAGAATACCGATTTCATAAATGTGCAGAAAAATACAAGTTGGAGTTGAAGAAAATGTTTGGTTTAGAGCACCAGATCATTCGTCTACACAGCTCATAGATTTTTTCAACTGGGTGATTGTTTTATGTTATTGACAACCTGCATATGATCGGCTTGTCCACGTAACAGTCCACTTTTCGTAAGTCCGTGACGTTTTGCCAACATTGCAAGCCCGCGATACACAACTGGGAGTTAGTTCTTAGTTTAAAGAGTAAACATTCGTGTTTAAATTAATAATTAAAAAAAAGCCGATCAATACTCATTAAAAACAGTGCCCTTTCTCACTTTAATATGCTCGAACCCTTATCAACTAAAATTTCAGCTAGGAGAGATAATCCATGTACATGGGATATCTCTTCTTCCATGAAAGACAATATAAAATCATGGTTTTTATTACTAATGTGCTCAGACTGGAACAATCTTTCTCATTCAATTATCGCTTCTTTTTCTAGGTAAAACGGAAGATTGACAGCTGGAATTTTGCCGTTGTAGTTTTTACTCATATTTTCGACAAATCTTGTGCAAATTTCAGGTTGTTTTTCGACTGTTGTCTTAAGTCCTTGTAATTTCGACAATAAATATCGACAATTGGCGTAAATCCATTGGCATTTCGACAAATTACTAAATATTAGTAAAAGTAGTTCGAGTCGCACAATATCAAAAAAATTCATCATGATGTTCACACTTATTTAAAGCAATAGATTAAAACAGAATCACTGAACTGCAGTCTTCTTCTAATAATTCACAAATGAAAACAAAATAACAAATAAGAATTTTCTTTTTTCAAATACAGATACCATTGAGAAACCAAAAAACAGCAGAATTTGTGTATCTCACAGCAACTGGACTGTGAGAAAGAAAAAAATCACACAAATTACAAAAATATTTTCGACAACTGAAATTGAAAATTATTGTCGAAATTCCGTTGGATTTTCGGCAATTGTCGATGTTCATTGTAAGTACGAAAATGCGAAGAAAATCATATTGATTTTCGACAATTGTCAAAATTGATTGATTTGAGATATTTTATTTCGTGTTTCTATGCAAGCTTCAAACTGAATGTTCCATTCATACCATCCAGCATGTATTTCAACATTTTTAAATCTATTGACCTATCAACTATTAGCATTTGCTTGATAATAAATTTAAAATAAAATGTTTGCTGTTTAAAATAAGATGTCTCCCGACTTTGTATGAGCTTCCATCGTCACACTATGGCATGATCAACATGAAGAAAACGTAACGGACTTGCGGCGTTACTGTTAAAATCTTAAGTGAAGAACAAAATAACTGTTAATCACAATCTATACAAATATAGCTGAATGGTTATTTCTATTTAACAGGTTATTGTGAATGTGTCGATTATTGTAGTAACATTTTGAAATTAATACCTATTCAAAAATGTTTAAACTGAAATATAAGTAATTCAACATCACGTTGAACGTACTTTCGATTTGCTGATAGGTTCCGACATACTCGCATGCTGTACCTGTTCAAGTGTGATAGACAAAAAGTACTGTTTTAACTAACCTACGATGGAAAAGTAATTGGACAAATATCGAGCATTATTTCTACATGTTCCTGACGGAAAGGCAAAGTCTGATCTTCAAAAAACAAAAAACATCAAAGTTTTTGTGGTTGAGTTTGAGTGAGAAAAAATTTGAACCTCAAGCATCGCCAAAATCGCTCTTGTAACTTCCGTCGTCTTCTAACTATCTCCCTCATCAAATGTATGTAGTTTTTCCAATAACTGAGTACGTTTGAAATTATGTAATTATAGTAACTACTGTCCATCCCAAAATACAAGGCCGTCGTTTACTTTTTGAATAATTCAAAAGAAAGAAATAACAGAGACTTGAGATTTTCATCATTCGCTAGCCAAGACCTGTAGCTATGTTTTCATAAGCAAAAACGAATTTGAAAAAATTTCAAAGATCGATTATTCAGGAGATCTGTAGAAAACTGACATAGAAATCTATAGACTTTTTATCATAGATAAATAGTCCGACGTGTCCTCTACAAAACTGGATCTAAGCGGCATCTTGGAAATCCATGGTTCGGGAGCTATAGACGTTTTCTTTTGAATTATTCAAAACGTAAACGATGGCCTTGTATTTGGGACGGATAGTAGAAGTAATTTTCTCGCTCTTTCAAATAGTGTATAATGAATTATCTTTCGATCCATCTTTCAACCAGTAATTATGATAGTTTTCATTAATTTTAGGAACAGAATTAATTAGCTTAATTAATGATTTTCAGATACTGATCGAGCTTTATTCTCTTGCTAAAACACAATTTTCGAAACAGCATTCAATTCTCTACAAACTCACATTAGTGTTAGTCCTTACCAACCTCGTTTGCTCCATGAATAAACAGATTTTCTGGATGTTTCATCTTTCTGATGCAAAGCAGTATTTTTTACCAAACTAGAGTTTTATATACGCTTTTATTACTATCAACGAATTACTGGAAGATTTTCAAAAAAAGAAGGAACAATAGAGTTTTGCGCGTGCGACATTCTTATGTATTGGGTTTTCAAATAACGTAAGGGAACTTAGCAGGGGGCAGATTTCTATATTTTCGCCTAACATTTTTTATTAAAGCTGTACCACCTTTGGAAATAAGTGTACCAGATAGAACTCGATGAGCTCTATCGATTGGTGAAACCAGTTTTCCAAAACATTGTTGAGCTCGCGTTTAAAATGCAAAATACTGATTTTCTGAACGAGACGAAAACTCAAAATTTTGTGCCTTCCTCTCGTTTAGGAAATCAGTATTTTGCATTTTAAACGCGAAATAAACAATATTCTGGAAAACTGATTTCACCAATCGATAGAGCTCATCAACTTCTAGCACACTTATTTCCACATTTCTATGACCAACAGTCTTATTTCTGTCCAAGAAAAAATAATATTCTCCATTCAACTTACCATACATGGGAATTTTTTCATTTCTTTTTTTTTACTGATCAATTATATGCATCATCTAAATAATCCAATCATATAAAATATAATATTAATATTTCAGATATATCTATATTAATCAAAGCATTTTCGAACGAATGGCACTTACAAACAAAATACACTTCATAAGTTTTATTCAATCATCGTCGAACGCCATTATTTTCTTATCACTAATAAGAAACTAATCAACAGGTAATACAACAGCATATTGAAAATCATTAATAACATTTCCTCATACTCTCATAATATAAAATATCATTCAAATTAGACAAACAACTGCTTACTAATATTCACAAATGACTAACACCATTTACAAACTATCTAACAACTGCTAGAAACTTAATAACTCTATTACTGATTCCACTTACCTTCAAATAATATTGTAAATTTACATGCTTAATTACTCACCATGACCTTTAATAAGATTGAAGCGCGTCGCAGTGGTTCTCCTGTTTAAACTCACCGTTTAAATAAAAGAACAATTTGCTATGTTTGAATTGTTGAACGAAAATTTAATATTGAAGGTCAGATTGACCTTTACTTTGAGTTTTTGTTTAATTTTTCAAATGTATATGTATTGTGTAAGCTATCTGATGAGTCCCTTGAGAAAGGACGAATCTAGATAGTAGTTTTCAAAACTAATTTAGTTTGACTTAATTAGAATGATAAAAAGAACACCTACGTTTTTCGGAACCATAGGTTTCTATGATAATTTTTTCCCAATTATGATCCATATTGAATGCAGATTCTATAGCAGAAAGAGCGACGCTTAGTTCCTGGCCCTTGCCCTGCTACGTATGTTTCAATCGTGAGTGCTCGTTTTCAATGAACTTCCAGAACCACACAATAGTTAACCGTCATATTTTGACCTCCCCTCACCCTCACCTACAGTCGCCGAAGAGTATTTGCTGTGAGTTTGAAGTCGAATTTATGTTCCTAGAATGAGTTATGAATCTTTCCTCATACCTCAGAACCTCATTTCCAGAGACTCCGATCATAAAATAGCTATCTTTCAGTAGCCCTTACTAGCTACCACTCTAAATTTATATCGTAGATAGAAAAGAATCAGGACTACATTTTGGTAAAAAGAAACAGTGTTCATCTCTCTTGGACCAGGAGTTATTAGCATTTTATGGAAAAGAAGTAAAATGCTTATATCTCACGAACCATCTAGTAAAAGAGGCCCATACTTGGTGGACGATCAGCATTCTGTAAGAGCTATGATCACACAGAATTAGAAGTCTCTAGCTATCATGGTTCTGGAGTTACAGGGGGCCCGCTACTTTTGCGGAGTACTGTATTATTGCTGATAGTCTTTTGAGACATATAA